TCCCATAATGAATGACATGTTTGGTTTCCCTGAAATGGCGGTAAATCTGCCGGTAATGTAGAAACTCATCTATCGCATAACGATGACGATGACGATCGTGCTAAAATGGCGGGTCCAGCTAAAACCATATGTAAAACACAAATATCTCTTATTGAAATGGATCACGTAATCCTTCTGAATAATAAGGGTCATCACGGTTTGAGTGACGTTGAGGAGTCGGACGATCCTGTCCACCATCCCATCGTAATCAAGAATTAAGTAAATCCACTTATAGGCACAAGGTTATTAAAGTTATAGTAGTGTCAATTGTGAAACTTAAAAGACCATTCCCAGAAACAATGAATTAAAGTCTCGTGTGAAGTAGGCAATCGAGATAATGCAAGCAGATAAATCGTCTCATGTTCTCCATTCATCATCATCATAACACATATGGTAACACAGACATCGTGACATAATTTCGCTTCGCACCATTACCTATTCTTGGAGCTGAACAATTTCTGGAGTACGGAACTTTTAAGACAGTGGGTGGATGCGGATAGAATTTAGTTAAATGCGCGTTTATATTACAAATACAAACCTCAATTTACAGTTCCTCCAACAGTCAGGTAATAAATTTGAATTAACGCGGATCGTAGCCACCGAGAATAAGCTGTTGGAATTGCGCCCTGCCGAACGAAGGGACTTCATATTGTCGTATTCGTCCAGTTAAACAAAATAAAGAAACTTGTTTCCATAAATTGGACAATCCAAACGAATATTTACGAGTAAAGAAACTATCCCGCTGAAAATCGGGTAGTGTTTTCAAAGTGGGGTCAGATCTAGAGAGAATAAAAATGGAAACATTAAGAGATTTGTGTGAGATAAGATAACAAATAAAGAAAAGAATAAAAATATTTCAGCCCTTGCAAATTTATTCACTTCCCTTGCCTAATTCCTTCGTTTTACGGTGATAAAAATGGTAATTTGTAATGATAATGGTTCGGCTTATTTATAAAGAGTTTTTTTTGGCGTAGAATTTTTATCGCTCTGTACGGTTCTTTCTAGCGACGGTAATTCTATTTTATTTTATTCAAGCATACTCAAAATATTGGTTTTAGGTGGATCCTGGGCCATCAAACTATGCAAATCACTTTTGCCTCAATGGTCTCAGTCGGTTCGCTGTAAAATGTACATCCTCCATCATCGTTCGCGCAAATAAAATTTAATTAAGATAGATACTAAAGAATAAAATAGTTAAAAGCATATCGAAAAAGTCCTGCTATAAAGAGTTTATATGTTAATTCTCTCTTTTCATGTGGAACGCAATACCAAAGATAGTAGAGTCATAAAAAATTATATTATTGCGGGAACTCAAAATTTGTTGAGCAAGTGTTACTTTCAGTTACGTCATTACGTTGGTTCCGTGTGACGTGATTAGTGATGTGAAATTACACGTGTTTTTTTAAAGGGCGTAATATTACGTGTAAAATTACCAATTGTTTATGGTTTTTATGGTATTTTATGTAATCTATGCAAAATTACCAGTAATTTATGTTTTTTATGTTTTTTTTTATTTCCATAATTCGATGACCATGTTGATGGTGACTATACGAGACAATAAACGAACGAATTTGGTTTCAATCCCAATCGGCCATGGAATTATTGCCATAAGAAATACATTATAAACTTCGAGTCAAAAATGCAAGGTTGATTCCCAAATGAAATACTCAGTGTTTAGTATTACTGGTTTTGTAATTTTTTTCTCTATCAAGTGACGTAAATGCCAATATGATGTCAATTTAAAATAAGGAAATTGATGTCAATATCTTGAAACCCGCCATTCTGAAAAAAATTTTCTATGTCCATTGAATTTATCCGATCGAATCTTGCAATTTTTATTTGAAACTTTTTTCGAGAGCTCTCTTTGTTACTAAAATATTTGAACTAAATTGGCGATTTTTACATTTTTCCAATTATCTACGAAACGAATTTTTACGTGAAAAAGTTTGATGTTATTCGGCCGATTTATCTAACGGGCAATTCAGGGTCAAAATGCTCTTGAAACAACAGGGCGTTTCGGAGGTTCTAAAGACAATACCGCCCAGGAAAGGTGGTGAATTGGAAAGTTTTAATAAAAAGGACGTTAAATCCAAAGTGGAATAATACAAAGTATAGCAGATAACGTACTGGAAATGTTAAAAGATAAGAAAATTTGAATTTTAAGTCCCTCTCTTGTTCTGGCCCCTCAACAGGCTTTCGCCCAATTACAGAGTAATCCGCATAATGCTTTTTAGAAGTGCTCCTGCAGAAGGTCTTAAATTGTTCTATACTACTCCGCTATTTACCTGACGAATTAGGAAAACTGCAGGAAAACCTAATTCTGAGTCGCCTGGAGGATGCTCGAAACTGATTTAGGAATTTCCCATCTCTACCACAGATGACAAATTCACCTCAATCCAGGTTTGAACACCCGACCTCCCGGTTATGTAGCCCAAAGTTCTACCACTGAACCACACAAATGGCTTCGCATCTTATACCTTATGTAATCTTGGTGCTCGGGCAATAATACTAGACTTCCCTACTTTGGTATGTAATGTACTATTATTAAACAAAAAAACTGACACTATGGTATTCTATTTCCTTATTTTGTTACATTTAAAGGAAATTCATAAATTATCAACTTCAGACTAACCGATGCAGGAATAACACGATAGTGCGAATATAATGCCGAAAACCCGAAAGTTTTACGATATTCTCTTGCCGAGATCTCGATTGATTTGTAAAAAATCGCCCGAACAGCCGACAGTTAGTGAAACAATAAGCTCTTTTTGGGAACCAAAAATGCGCTAATAATTCAAGTAGGTATTGCATGGAAAAGTGACAAATCAGTGAAAATTATAAGAGAAATAGGTTTTTCTTCTTTACACTCTCGAACGAAACCCAGTTATAAATCTCAGATGGATCTGTAGTTGCGTCCTCCCCCAGTTTGATATCCACCATGCATGTAACGATCTAACCTGCAATTATAAAAAAAGAATTACAATTATTGCAAGAGCGTATGTACGGAACTGTGGTACACTTGATAAAATTTTAAGGAAAATAAGCTGTGATTTTTACCACCCTCGAGAGGGGTCCAGTTCTTACTCGTAGATGCATATGAACTTGCACCCATACCCGAAAAGCTAGTAGTTTTAAAGATAATTCGATTTTTAAGAAAAATTGGGCATTTGCAAGCGTCAGTATATATTGTCAAAATTATTTTATTACTTACATTTTGATTCCAGGTTTTATATCTTATCGTGGGTTAAGTATAAGTCAAATAAATACATCTACTATGAAACATTAAAAAAATAGCTTACAGGGTGTTTTTTTTTGTAGATCCAAAGTTACAAAACTTCATATTAAAAAATCTCACTTTTGTTTAAATGGAACACCCTGTATATTTTTCTGTCATCATTTAGCTCCTCCAAAAATCTTCAACTTTTGATAATAATGTCCTATACCCATCTCTGATAGTTTTCGAAACATCTTGGTTTTCCTGGGTTTTATATTCTAATCTTAAATAAGTTATATTAATTTACATAATAGTGAGGTGGACATGCAAAAAAAGGCAATTTTTATGTATCTCGTCCAAAACGATAATCATATCGATTGATTTATTTTTCAAACAATTTATTTAAGTCCAAAAACTGGAGAATAAGTAAAAACATCTGACTACAAAGCAAATTTAATTTAACTCCTAATAAAGATATAAAACCTGGAATCAAAATTTAAGTAATAATTTTGACAATATACTGACGCTTGCATCAAATGCCCAATTTTTCTTAAAAATCGAATTATCTTTAAAACTACTAGCTTTTGGGATATTAACTATATAATAAAAAAGACGTACAATTACACGTAGAATTTAAAAATGCAGGAGGTTCTATTAAAAAATGTACCATTTGGGCGCACTACTTTGTGGTCGCACCCTGTATAATTACAAATATTTTTAGAATGTGGAAAATATTCAACCATATCATAATACAAAAGCACTCTATCGAAAAATCTTATCTTCAAGGCATTAAGTTACTCCGCGCAATCGTTGACTCACCCTGTACAAACCAATTTGTTTCGATAAGACCTTTCATTTTCAAAAGCTTATTTGGCACCACTAAAGGCTGCGTATGCAATATTTGAGACCAATTGGTTGTCGTGTGTAAAAGTTATGCACGTTTTACTTTCAAAAACAGCATCTTAGAAAATAATTCATAGGCGTGGGGATGACGCGATTTCAAAATAGTACGTGAAAAATAGATTTTCATCTTTACCACCCCTGAAAGAGTTCCAATTCTATCTCGCAGATGCATCTGCACTAGCGATCTCTCTTAATTCGATATCCCTCTTTCTTACAATGGTCTATTATGCAATTATAAAAAATGTTTACAATTACTGCAAGAGAGGAGGTACGGAGAAGCGACATCCTGAAAAGAAGTTCAGATCTCCCTCACAGATGAATCTCCCTCAGTTCGATATCCATCGTGCATATAAACCTGTTGTTATAAAAAAAAGGGGTTGCAATTTTGTTGTAAGTGCGAAGGCACGTAAAAGTGGAAAACTAGCTGCAATATTATAAGGGGAATCGGTTTTCGTTTTTACCACCCTAGTGCCCCAGTCACGATTCGAATCGAATCCCTTATTGACTCACATACAAGAGTGGAACCCGATTTGTCCCGAATATAAACAACCTAAAGTTTTATTTGATTTGTGTTGTACAAAACGAATTTTTTTGACTCGTGATCTCGTGAACTTTTTTTGACAATTGTAAGTGCTTTGCACCCTAACATGAACACAAATAAATAAATAAAAAAATAAATAAAAATAAATGACACGAGCGACTCCTACCACTTTGGGTAATTAAAATTGTGTTTTGGATTGGAATTAGAAGACTCCGATTCATCACCTAAACGAGTCAAAAAACTTCTTCCAATCTTGGGAGAACAACTTGCCAAGATAGACCAAAATTATAGTAATAAAACACCTTTACAAGCTACTAAATTTATTTGGTGTCAAAGTTACATGGTTTAGCCATAACGTATTTGAACAGTGCATTGACCATACGCGTTTTCAGTAACAGTTGCTTTGTATGCAGCTTGTCAAGCCTAGGTAGTCACGTGCACTGGAGCATCTCTCATAACAATCTAAGAAATCGTCAGCGGTACCTACGTCACAGTAAAAGGTGAAGAAAATTAGAATAGTGGAAACTCACCTTCATGCACGAATACAAAAAGTGCTAGTAGCACGGCGATGAAGAACGTCGGGAACATTATGTTTCGTCTTTTGGCAACTGTTTCAAGTACGAATCCGACATCAGAGCGATGGTCTTTTATACGGTTCACTCCAATGGATGTGGTTTCTCTATCTTGGTTTCTAAATTACATCCACGAAGATAAATACCCCTGTTAACTAATTGCCTCCCACATCTTATGTATGTCACCTGATCGATTAGAAATCGAGATCACAAAATAATAAGACGCTTATTAATCAGTTTCAATCATCGGTCGGCAAAGGGAAGATCCGTCCACGCTTGATTTTAGGTAATCTTTTTGTATAATTATCACATTCATTTGCGAAACGGAAACCATGCTATCAAGTGCGAGTAAACAATTTTAATTGCGCTGGGAAGAAGTGCAGATATCGCTAAATTTTCAGCTACGTATGATTAGTTGAAGTGGAGCGGATCTTCTAATTACCTAAACAACAGATTTGTGTTTTTTGATTGTATGTCTCCTTATCTTCGTTCTATTTTTTTCAGGAAAACAACTCAATATTGTGCGCACTTACCTACTTTCCAATTTTTTGGAATTCACTACAGTATACAGTATACTATACATATTACGAAAGCTTTCTTTTTTATTTTCACCAGGCATTGTACAGATCATAATGTAATAATAATACGGATCATAACTCATTTACCATAAAAGATACCGAAAAAAGCTTTAGAGCAAAATTTTCTAAAATATTTTTGATTACCAGAGGCGTGCTGTATTCCAGTGGCGTATCAAACTTGCATTTTTTAAAATGGAACACCCCTTATTTTATTACTGATTTGGAGAGTACTTGAAAAGTACTTATTTTTTATGTAACATGTTATACCTCTAACTTTAACGATTTCGCTGTTATAAACTTTTTTCGTCAAAATTTGAGTTTTTCGAAATTTTTTTTGAGAGAAACCAAATCACGCATGCAGCTAATTTTTGGATTGAGGCACAGGTTAACACCTCTTCCACAATCATATTTTTTTAGGTACTTTATCGAAAAAATAAAATTTTTGATTGACCTTCTCTAAATGTCAATTTTTTAAAAATTTTAAATGGCACCCCCCTAAACAAAGTCCCTTTGTTTAGGGCAAAACTAAAAAGTTTCCACTGATGTAAACAAAACCACACTTTCCATAAGAAAATTTCAGAGTAAAACCAAATCGAAACGGCAATTTGTAAAAAAAAGTTCTTTTCCGAACCCAAGTAGGCCATGATAAAACAAAAGATGTTCAATTTTCACAATTAACAGTACAGTGTCGGCAGCGTATGATTGTTTTTTAATCAGCGTTGTGAAAATGTTCCAAACTCAAAAATCGAAGTGTGCCTAAATGTGCAATCAATGTGTAAACGAAGGAAATATTTGACGTTTCATTATTTTATTGTTGGGGGCTAAATTCGTGAAGTTGGCTGAGATGTATTGTCAGGCGTTAATAACTCCCCTGGGTAGGCAGCACCCAAAGGGGTAGGCAACTCGCTCTGAGACGACCCAGATTATACCCCTGAGTGCCATAAAAACTTTATGTGATTTAATTATCTAGTTTTGTGGTAATTAGTAACACTTAAAAAATCAAAGAAATATAGAATTTGGCTAATTATGAATAGGTCCAGTGGTCGACCCCAAACATTCTAAACGTGTTTCACAACCATGGAGCTTAGTAGAGTCGAAAAAAATGGTTTAGTCATTAGTAACCAACATTTTTGTAGCCCCCCCCCCCTCCCGGATTCCGGGGGAGATGAGTGTGATTCGACGTCGTAACTTTAAGAGGGATGGCCAAGAGCATATGCGCCAATTTTCATCGCTTTACGCAAAAGTGCGAGGTATGCATTTGGAGCGTGAAGTGCTAACTTACCAGTAAGGGTTGGAGGGCTGTAAACTGAAGATCATGATATAAAATGCTAAAGCGTGATTTCGGATGAATTTGGTTTTATAGTCTGAATATTAAAACTGTAGAACAAAAAATTGTTGTTTTGACATTCGTCAGTGCCAAGATACCAAATTTTTTAGTTCTAAATTTCAAGTGCATGGATTGAACGTTGAAGCCTGGAGTCTAGAATTCGAAGCGTTTTTAAAACATGATGTTTAAATCCAAACGCCTCAAAAAAGGCACCAGCTTACAACTTGAAGCTAGTTATTTATTTATTTATATGCATAATTAAAAAAAAATTCCAACTCCAAGATGGGGTCTTAACCCGAGGTATGAAGAAGATCATGAAAAAAAAATCAATTGCAACCCTTATAATTATAAGATTTTTTGCAATGATTAGTGAACGTTTCTCACCACAATTTTCTCTTTACATAGGCAAGAACTAGCGTGTAAACGTATACCATACGTCTGTTGAGCGGTTAGTTGTTTTTTTATGTATTTTTTTAATTTTGACAGTACAACAAACAAAAGTTTATTGATAAACATCTGCCATCAATTTTAAAATAATATTGGATAGAAGAAATAATAGGCGTTACCATATTGACAGGTGTTTTTCGTTGTCTATTCGCTTGGTAGTATGTACTATATGTACTTTTTCAAAAATTGCTAAAAAGTGTTGATTGGCAATGGCTATCAATATGAAATATCAAATGTATTAATGGCATACGATCTTTTTTTGTTGTGTTGTCATAATCTGCAAAATTACTTAAAAATAGAACTGACCGCTCAACAGACGTATAATATACGTTTACACGGTAGTTCTAACGTATGTAAAGTGAAAATTGCGGTGATAGACCTTTACTAATCATCACACAATATTTGTCGTTATTAACAACGAAATATCGTACGAGTTTAAATTACACAGACGCGCAAAGCACATGCTAATCGGCCAAGTATTGCAAATGGAATTTTTATTTCGAATGTTCAAGTTTTGGGTTCGTTATTTTCGTGTTATCAGACCCGCAGATGCAAAATTTGTGGGGATTGGGATTTTTGCATGCAAGTTAGTTGTTGCACCACTTTGTGCTAGGCAAAAATATTTTTAAAATTGGCAAGGACATGTGGTCGCTAATTTGCGCTTGAACACAAATTCGATCATATTATTCGAATTGAGGTAATTCTTATATTGTATCAGAAATATTAGTTCTTTTATTTTGTTTAAATAATTAGTAAAATATCCGGAACATCAATTGAATTTAATTGAGTTGTGTTATTTATTGTAAATGTTTATCTCAGGTGAGGGCGATAAGAGTTCGTTATCGCTGCGTAAAGCTAATTGAATTTCAGGATGGAAGAAAGGACGAAGGTGGAAGGGAAGAACGTTTTAAATAAGCGAAGCGAATGCTTTTTTTTGGTGGTCATTTTGATTGGTGCATGGCAGTCAGTCAGTCTTGTGGATAGTAAAGTTGTAAAAAAGAAATTTTACACAATTTTTAAATATATTTAGAATACCGTCAAGAAACGATATGACCAGTTCATACAAAATTGTCGCCGCGCATTTACTGCTGCCAATAATCCTGCCCCACTTATTCTGATACAGTATATAAAGACGAATCGCAGTAACATGTGGAGTAACCCCAGATTCTTCTCTACAGGACACCGAATTCTTCTCTTGAAGGGAACCTGAGATACGTTAACCTACATCGTCCTAATTCTAAACCTGTATTTAAATTTCGTTTTTTGTTTCACAAATTATTTCTCTATTCAACTGATGGAACCTTTGACAGACTGTGATTACCTTTTGCAGACTCTGTCTAAACCACCATATCGTATAAGCTGAAGAAACTATTGTACGGTATCAACTCTGTAAACGAATATAATCATATTACGTATACCGAACTTTACACGTAGGTGTTTAAAAGGAGATGTAATTTATGCACGTGTCTGGAAACGTGAAATAGACTTCGATATTAATACACTTATGTGAAACGACTTTATTTTTCATTTTATTAACATTTTTAAGTGGACCGTGGGACGAGTTCCGGGCGAGGCCGTTTTACTAACCCACCCCATGAGAAAATGTGACTTCGGCAAAATGAACGTGCAAAAAAAATTTCCCAAAGTGCACTAAACTTAGCTTTGTAACGTGTGCACGTAGGCAATATCCACGTGTCATTTTGCATTATAGTTAGGTATCTAGCGACTTAAATGCCGTTGTCATTGCGCTTCACTACAACTAATGGATTCAAAGTACCAGAAAACTTAGTTTAACAAAAAATCGCAAAGCTCTGAAAGATGGCCTTAAACTTTTCATTCAACGTTCACATAAATAAACGAGATGGTCTTTTCCCACGAGAACTGGGGAGTACGTCGGATATTGTTGGTGGAATAATTCAGTTTGCCATTACAAAAAAGAATACTCCCCTAAATTGCTCTAGTATCCACTTTTTGTAGTAGGTACCTGTATATTATTTACTTATGTGCTAAAGGGAAATAGGAACAGAAAAGCAAAGTTTACAAGTTTACTAAACCCTAAGAAGGTTTACGGGATACATCAGAGCCTACTGGCTCTTGCTACATTAATGATGAAAGCAATTTATGCAGTTTGAAAGTTGGTGATAAGTCCAGAAAGGCAGAAACGTACGATAAAACAATTAATAACGAATTTCGGTACAGTTGCGCACTTTTCACTTGTAACTAAATAAATAGTCACAAACCACGAGGACAGTTTGGTTAATCAGTGACTTTTTGAATTTCCCGCGCAGTAACTTTAAATGCAACACTGCTCCCGTTAACTAACAGCTACTAAACCTCTCGCCAAGATTTTTCGTTCAACATTGGCACGATCCCATTCCGGAAGTCGCTCGTATCTTAAGAAAAACAGAGATTGTAGATCGACATAAGTTTGTTTGACAGCTAGTGAAAATCGGCAACGTGGCAATTTTAACCTAAATGGAAAAAAAATCCCAACGTCGTCACTTATTCACCAAATTTGGTTTTGAAAATACCCAAACGCGTTAGTTTATTTTCAAGAATTAAGCATCATTGGTCTTTAAATTTTTTCTGTATCGAGTGACAAAAATCCAATATGGCGTAAAAAAAAAATAAGAAAGTTAATGCGATTTAGTAGAAAAACACGTCATAAAAACTGTAGCACCGTCAGAAAATCATTAATAGGTTTATTGAAATTATTTTTTGGTATCTTTGACC